TGCCATTTGCCATTCAATACGTGAAATACGTGACCGGTACGGTCATATATAAATAAAAGGAATTCACATTATTATTATTTTCTTGCTCTGATAACAGTCGCGATACGGCTTTACTGTAAAACAGCATTATTGAAACCATGCACCTAGCTGTTTATACACAGTGCGGTAGTAAAGCTGCTGTTACACTCTGGCTGTTACAGACCTCGGACTTCGGATAGCGGCCGGAAGGTATCGTATTCGACCGTCATGCCGAAAATTTTAGGGGTGGTCCATCGTCTCTCGCAGGGGTTTTACGGATGTTCGCCAGCAGCACTCGGCTGGTCTATTTTGTATAGCGAACCACTCCCAGCATTTGACACAAACATTTTTCGTATTTTTTCGCTTCGATTGCAGTTGAAAAAGGGGAAAGTGATTTCCTGATACCCTCTGTTGTTTGTGCAACTATTTACGGGTAAAGGGTGACGTTTTTTCGACGGAAAACAACTTCTTTTGGGTGAAATAATACGCGGTTCCCGAAGAGCAAGGAGAGATCAAAGTGTTACGAGATTTCAGCATCTTTTACACTCGATCTAACTGCTTGTTGGCGACATGAGTGGCGATATAGAAAGGCTTCGGCAAGAAGCTGAGACGCTGAGGACAGAGATAAGGGTATGTAGACATATATTATACGTTTTTTGCTTTTAATTCGAGACGTTTCGTTTGCAGAATCGAACCTTTTGGCGTATATTGTGTCTCGTCTCGTGAACAACAACAAAAACGTTCCTGATTTTTTCACGGTTGCTCTCCTGTTTATTGAGCTTACAGCTAGTTTTCCCGTGTTATTTTGAGCTCGTTTATGTACGAACTGTGTTCTAATGGGATCCTATTTTGTAAAAGGAAGGCAGATTGAATCGTATCGAGCGTATCCATAAACAGAAGCAGCTCATTACGGATGCCTTGTTAGTTGTAATATTATTGAAGACAGCTGAATGTCGTGTTTTTGAATCAAGGCTACTGTAGCTTTATCCCTTTAGTAATTTCTTTAAAAAACCTACCAAAACGCTCAGAGTGGGTACAATTTAAAAACCGTAGCTAGTTTTCCTAACATTTGGCCTGCAAATGTTTACTATGATATCCTTGCGTTTGCTATTCCGCTTTTCTATACCTCAGCTGTTTTGCATATGGAAATAAGGCGTCACTGTGTTTCAATCTGAAATTAAACCTACCAAAAAGCTGTCTTGATCGTTTTATTCACGAAATACACAATTGTTTATATGGGCTAGTGTAGCGAAGTAGAGTATATTTTACAATCTGTGCTCTGCGCGTATTGTGAAACATTTTGAAATTCGTCTCGAACGGAACTGCCTTTGTTTTCACAATTTCGTGCATTTTGTTTATGACAAATTGCTGAGAAAATACGCCTTTTTCGTTTTGCACATTCGGCCAAACCTCGCAGAGATCGTAAATTTCGGTTTTGTTATTGTTTTCGAAACGTCGCAATTTGCCCAGACGTGACCGTTCTAATGATTTTTTCGCCGGGAAATTCTCGACACTGACGAACGACTTCGTTGCAAAATCCCGGCTCTTCGCTTCGTGGCGTAATTCTCCTCGCTTCTTTAGCAAAATATCACTGCGAACATACAAAACAAAGGCCTACAAAAGATGCACGGACGGGATGGAAAGAAAACTACAAAATTCTCTCGTGATTTTGAATGAATACGGATTATTTTATGTTGTAAAATTTTGCATTGATGTTTTAATACCGTCTGGGGGAAATAAAGGCCAATGTACTTGTTGTTCTACAAGAGGTTTCCCGTGTACGAATATTTTTGATATGTTGGTCGAGAAACCTCCGTCAATTTAGCCATAATTTTTTACCTTTTGCTTAGCAGGAAAAGCTGTGTTTACTCGCAGCTTTTTGTTGCTAAGTGGGTCTCTGGCAGTATTATCTTGAAATACCATATAAAAAAACACAAAGTCTTTCTTCCCCATAAAAAGTTACAATCTGCAATTCCGGAACGATTCAAAGAATCGTTTTTCGAAAGTTTTTTTTGCATTCAAAGGTAAAACGCAAGGCGTTTAATGGCCACTTTCTGACAGATGTTCAAAAATTCCCTTTTGAAAATACGCTAAATGTTATGTACTGCAAATAATATAGATTTCGCCAAAAGCCATTTAAATTTTCTCTCGATATCTGGCAATTTTAATGGTTTTGACTTTTGTCAATAGTATTTAATCCGCTTAAAGTTGGTATATTTCCTTGACCAGCCTATGGTTTTATTCATTCTGGATATTTTGTTGCCAAAATTCTGTTTACTTTATGATTTCCTGACAAAAATGTCAAGATTATAAAAGACTAAGGATGATATTGAGTTTCCAGGTATCGTTACTTCCCCTGTCTTATTTTGTGTTGTCACTTCCAAACTACTTGAAACCAAATAGATTGAACAGAAAAGAACCACACTCCCCCTTGCCGAGAAAGTTCCTGCTGTCAGGAGTGTAGGGGTAAATCTACTTCCGAAATAGTAAATGTACTAGGACCTCTGAAGTGGGTAGGGGAGTTAACTTCCAATTTCTTCCTTGAGGGAGGTACGGATGTTTTCTGGAATGGCCACCCCAGTTTCTTTTGAGTCAGTTAGGATGATATTTAATCCACATAAAAAGATTTAAAATTTCTGGATTCTATAAAATAGGGGATCAACCCTCAATTAGTTAATGTAGTACTGCTGTAAAAAATACATTTATTTTTGTCTTGCGATAGCCTATTTCATGAACTAACCCATCGAGCGCCAATTCTCTCCCCTTGATGAGTAAAATTGTCTGGCATTAGACAGAGTAAAAAA